TAAAAACTGATGATAGTATATTTTGTGTGTTTCCCCATTTGTTCCTTTTTTCCATCGTTTTTTTAATTTCACTTAATTTTATTAATATTCTTCCCTTACTTACATATGCATTCATTGTACCTTATTTTCAGCAGCAGCTACTAAAGCCAAAGTGAAGAGAAGCGCTCCTGAGACAAAGAAACGTTGCGGCTGTGGTTGTGGAGGTTTTGGATATGGCGGTTTCGGCGGATATGGCGGTTTCGGCGGATATGGCGGATATGGCGGATATGGTGGTTTTGGAGGATATGGAAGACTTGGAGGATACGGATATGGCTACAGACATGGTAACGGACCACTTGGCTACGGAGGCCATGGACTTTTAGGCGTATTTTCGACTCCATATCCATACTACGGCTTTGGTTACCATTACTAACAATTTCAGACAGTAAGTTTTCATTTGTTTACTTACGTTTTCTGTTACATTGCGCTGAATTACGTTATGCTGTTGCGTTTCATATGYCGTTCTTATGTAACATTTCCTTTTCGTCTCGTTTTGTTACAGTTTTGAACTGTATTGTGTTGTACTKCCTTGTGTTGCTTTTGAAGAAAATGTCTCAGTAGATTACGCTATTATGCATATAGAGGATATTACATGGGCGCGCGGAGATACGGATTTTATCTTCGAGTGTTGAAAAGATCTCTCACGAGTGAGAGATTTTCAACATGAGAAGATAAAATTCGTATCTCGAAGCGACCATGTAATATTCTGTTTATCATATAATTACATATGAAAGCAAATTATGTCGTAAAATACCTTTTTTCTTACTTCCACTATATACAGAAACTTCAAATGTGATATTTTCACTAGTGAAAATAACATGTTATTTTCACTAGTGAAAATATCAATTTTACAAAATGGAGAAATATAGGTATTTCATAGATAATTATATGATAAAGTTGTGTCTTACTTTGCCGATTATGTCTGCATTTAATCACTAAATGATACTAATTTATGACTACTTCTTCGTTTTAGGTAACTCCCTCATCTTCCAAAGACACACACATCAATGCCAGCTTCCATTTTTAAAACCATCAACAAATCAAGTGGTAAAGCGACGGGCAGCCATCTTTCCAGCACCAATCGACGGTCGTTTTTATTTTGCTTTCTATGAAACAACAATACTGAGATGGCGATTTAGATTATCAAAGTAATAACTGATTTCCAGTTAATGAAGATAGCTTAGAATATTGATTAATTTACAGAAATTTAAAAACTTAAACAAATTTAAGATCCCTGAATGACCTTTTAAAGGAAAATAATAAAATATTCCTTAAAGCATGTGAAGGATTATTAAAATAAAATCTAACTTGTATAAATGCATGTCTAACGATCTTAGAATTATGCATGATATGGTGTGTTATCAATGTTACTAAGGTGATGTTGCTATGGTGATGTTTCTATGGTAATGCAACTATGGTGGCGTTACTATGGCGATGTTTCTATGGTTATCCTAATCTTTAAAACTTCTTTTCCCTGTAAACGTCGGTATTTTYCACTSTAAAWTCATTTATCTTTTTTGTATAAATTCACGGTATTTTAGAAGCTACCCCGTATCTTACAAAGCGAAAGGGCAGCAATTAATGATCACAAACTCTTGGGATTCTTCAGTAATTCTTCTAAACAAATGCTTAAACATTTAATCATACCATAACCCTTCGGACAAATCTTTACAAATTCGACGACATAATTTTAAAGACAAGACTTGATTGACAGCAAGATTTGAAAGGATTTTAAACTTTGCGCCTCCGCGATTCGAGGTGAGTATGCTGTGAGTAAAAGCGCGTTTCTATGCATGCTATTCGCGTTGCTAAGGACAGGGTAGTTTCTACTTGTAACGAATGATTCATAACAGTTGCTAAGAAACAGGTTATTTTTCGTTAAAATTCGCAAAGGAAATTGATATCGGTATTTTAGCATGCAGAGAAGCTATCCTGTTCTTATTATATAGGTTATTGCAGCTTTTTTTTCAATGAAGCTTTTCGTACTTTTACAAACGTTTTTAAAACATTCCATCTAATGATTTCTGCATAATATTTTTCTTGTTTTTTGCTTGTTTTTGTTTTTTGCCTCAAAGGCTCTCTCTTAGGGTTTTTTCATTGAACGATGTTAACCATTTATTTGTTAATAATACAACAAAGCGATGGATTTGATAATGATTACAGTATATTAGCTTTTCATACAAATAGATTTTATTTTACAAAATGTTTTTGGATTCAATGTTTTTTTTACAATCATTACATAACTCTCGTTATTCAACTATACATACAAAGCTAATACTAAACAGCTTTGTTGGTTCTTTCTTGACAGGAAAGCGCTGTAAAACGCATTGCCTTAAAAGGTGTTCTGTTAAAAAACGTTGTCTCAAGAAAAATTCCGTTAAGAAACGTTGCGGATGCTGCGGTTGTTGCTGCCCTTGTTGTTGTGGGTGTGGCGGCTGTGGCGGCTGCGGTTGCGGCTGTGGCGGCTGCGGTTGCGGCTGTGGTTGTGGGTGCGGATGCGGATGTGGTAACATCGTTATCCCTCTCAAATTTGGTGCAAGCTGCGACTGCTGTTGCCCCTGCAAGAAGAAAGGCAAAAAGGGAAAAGAGGAATGCCAGTGCTGTTGCAACTGGCCATGTTGTTGCACTGTTAAACAAATGCCTAAGTTCAAATTCGAGCCCCTTAAAGCCAAGCCATGCTGTTGTTGCCCAGGATGCAGCAAACGAGGAGGTAATAATAGACCATTAGTAATATATGCATTGCTAAGTATGTGGTGACTAAAACCTTGAAACAGTCTCCGATTATCTGAAAGACACGAATAAAAAACAATGCACTTAGCTTGAGAAAGTCAGTAAGATGCATATTCTGGTATCTGTTTCATAGATTTTGACTTCTCTTCAACAACCTTTTAATAGTTCTTATTCTACATATTGTAAAACAAAAAAAAGCATTGTTTTTATTTGTGACTTATTGAACTTATAAACAACTTCATTTAGCGGGAGTTCTAAGTAATTGAGAGTAACTAGTTGATGTCATTTTGTTTTCTGTCCATAGGTAACAAGAGATGCAGGTGCCGTTTCTTCTGCAACTGTTCMTCTCCTATGATACTGATACCTCTGGTTGACCCATCGGCCGTTATGGGATCAATTGAACATAATAAGGCTTTAGGATATACTGCACATGCGCACAAGAACATAAAGAGGTTTGATAGATCGTTCTTATATCATGTATACTTAMCTTTTCTTCACCTTTTCTGTCTTTGATATGTCTTCATATCTGTAGAGCAGTATTAGTGTCCTCGTTTATCCCCTCAATTCCTTTCATTTTGTGGATTTGCTTGATTTATGGGAAATGAAGTCATGTGACTCTCTGAGTTCAACCTCTATATTCCAATCCTTTCTTTGCATATACCGCTTTATTAATTTGCTGCACCATCTCTTCTTCCTCCCCATTTTCATTTCCTTGCTATATTTCCATCAACATTTGTCTTTTTTCGCAATGCTCAATTGCCTTAATTTCTCTTTTATTTTCAGCGTTCATCCAGAACATAAGTCCAGCCACAAGATTAGCAATTTATAAGCGCTTGCCAGCAGCTTACGGCCGTTAAAGATTCGCTTTTATTTCCACGTTAATCTTGACTGAAACTATTTGTGATAAGAAGTAGTAAAGGCGTGCAATAAATCACCAGATAAACTTGCACTAGTTGGTTCTAATCTTCTTGATTGTTCTCCGAATTCCTTTTTGTTTCGTTCCTTCAAATAAAAACAAATTAGAATATTTTTACTCCAACGAACTTTAACTGTTGCACATCTCAATCTTTTTCACTTCACTGAATCAAAAGAAAAAATGGCTCTCGACAATTCCGAACCGGTTTAAAAACCTGCTTTAATCATTTTGTGAAACCTTTTTTCCATGGTGACGCCTTTCTTTACGTAGCTTCTATAAAATCCTGCCAAATCAAAGGTTCGTAAACCAATTCTACTATAATTCTAAAAAGTTATTAGAATGGCAGGCAATATTTGAACTTCGGATCACTTATTTGACTGTACATTGAGTATATCCACATATCTTATGTCTTTTTCAATATATTGACGGTCTATTGTAATCAATCATCTTCCACTATCTATAATCTTAAACAACTCAATAATTCAATCGTTTTATAATGCATGCCTGAATKGATAATTACTTCAAAAGCTCACATAATAATCTTTGAATTTCAGGAAAACGTTGCTGTGGATGTTGCGGATGTCGCGGTTGCGGAGTCGGCTGCGGAGGMGGTAGCTGGGGTATATGCGATCTCTGCCATCATCCMCGTGGAGACGGGTGGTGTGGAGCAGGATGCCAGTGCGCTAACTGCTGTGGAGGCTTCGGACATCCTATAACCAACCACGGTTGCAATGGTGGATGCTGCCCTTCTGTTACCTTCCCTTGTAGTTTCGGAGCCTGTGTAAACAATCCTTGTTGCGAGTGCTGCAGAGAGCCTGCACCTCCAGGCAAATGCAAGTGGCCTTGCTTGTGGCCTTGCTGCTGCGAATGTACTCCACCCAAATTCAAGTTCAAGCCTCTGAAACCCAAGCCTGTTTGCCATTGCCCGCACAGCTGCGGCTGTGGACCACACAAGAGAGCAGGTTAGTCATCCTAAGTAGATGTTTCTTAAGTAAATACGCTTGCTTTTCACCTTGATCTCGGAGTAAAAGTTGATATTTTTGTCTAATGTTATTGGTTGTGGTTCTCATAATTCCATTGTATTTCCTTACAGGCGTCCCATGCAAGCGTCAACTTCTCTCTCCAGTCGGCGCTCCTTATCTTCCATATGCTGCAGTCCCATATGCAGCTCAACCATTAGCACCCGTGGCTCCAGTTCCTTATGCACCAGCCTTCGCTTATGCACCCCCATTAGTTTATGGACCAGCTGCATATCATTACTAAAATACGATTTTATTGGTAAGAGCTGATGTGAATAGTAGCTGAATGTCATTTGAATGAAGCCCCGAAAACGGACGAAAACTCCTGCAGCTGGTTCGATGCCTCAGTGGGTTCAAGTCTTGCTGTGAGCATCGGATTTTTTCCACACAGTTCAGTTTAGTTKCCATAAATTAGAATTGACTTCTGACGATGAACTCATCAGTTTTGATAATCATATACATGTATGTAGAATACTGATCCATTCTTTCCTCTTGTTGCTTAGGCTTTACTCTTTACAACACTGATCTACACTAGACATGACAAGAAAATAGTGGATGGGAGATTTCATTTTGCAATATATCCATTATATACCTACAAGTCTCGAAAGTTCTAGATATTTCGCTCTCTACAACCAAACAGCAATGGGAAAATGGTGCAGAGATAGCGTGACGCAATGGACTGAAAGACGATTTTAGACTTCAAAAAACAGAATTTGGTTTACAGCTTATTTAATATCATTTTACTGTCCAAAATATATGATCATTGTATTATCATTTTTGCATGAATTGGATACAGCAAATGTGACCCGAATAAAGATTAAAGTCTAAACTACCCTTTATGGATGCGCTTTCTTTGATGTAAAACATTAGCTTTAGTTYATTAACTGGTTCCTTTATACAAAGTTTCGAACATGCAATCTTTTAAAGCCAATCTTTGGAGTATTTTTAAAGTCCAAGTGCATGTATCAACATTCCAGGTTGGTCCTTGCTTGATAGATCATCTAGTTAGCATGAAAAAAACAATAATCTTATTTTAATAAAAACGAGATAAATCTCTTCCTCTATTCATTCTKATGTATTTTACTAATTATTTTCAACAGTTTCTTTTCTGATTTTAGATTTTTTGAATTTCAGGAAAACGTTGCTGTGGATGTTGCGGATGCGGCGGATGTCGCGGTTGCGGAGTCGGCTGCGGAGGCGGTAGCTGGGGTGTATGCGATCTCTGCCATCATCCCCGTGGAGACGGGTGGTGTGGAGCAGGATGCCAGTGCGCTAACTGCTGTGGAGGCTTCGGACATCCTATAACTAACCACGGCTGCAATGGTGGATGCTGCCCTTCTGTTACCTTCCCTTGTAGTTTCGGAGCCTGCGTAAACAATCCTTGTTGCGAGTGCTGCAGAGAGCCTGCACCTCCAGGCAAATGCAAGTGGCCTTGCTTGTGGCCTTGCTGCTGCGAATGTACTCCACCTAAATTCAAGTTCAAGCCTCTGAAACCCAAGCCTGTTTGCCATTGTCCGCACAGCTGCAACTGTGGAGCAGGACACAAGAGAACAGGTTAGTCAAACTATTTCCATTAAGACCATTACGGTATCCTGTAGGTAGTCATGAARTGTGCAAGAGCTTCTGTTATTTAAGTGCAATTTTGTACAAGCAAAGTCTTCCATGGAGTTGATGAATGCACACTCTTTATTTCTACAGACATTCCATCCAACCGTCAACTTCTTGCCCCATTTGCTCAAGCCTATGCCCCAGTTGCACACCCCTATGGATATGTCCCTCGTGGATTCATCCCATATGCTCCAGCACCCTATGGTTACTATCACTATTAAATAACAATTTGAATGGTAAGTGTGTACCTATCTATGTAGGAAATTGTATTAGTTTGCCACATTAGAGTTTGCTCTACTTTATCCCGATATTGCGAGTCTCTTTGTCTATAAAGCTGCTTTTCGATATGTTGGATAGTTTGCGTAATTGGTAGATTAAAGGTTTTTGACAAAGATTTACGGTTTGCAAGGGTAGGGTAAAACTACAGGAAACATGCAWTTAGATTTTACACCACTGCTCCTTTTTAGACACTACTTTTATTGCTTTCCTTGGCGTTTCACGGATTTATTTCACGGAGTTATTTTAGTGAATGTGTTGTTTTTCTTTTAGGTTTCTATGAATGATCAACGTTAGAGGCAATTATGGATGGAAGAATTTTATTGTGGCATACCCGTTTAACATCAAACTATTGTATACAAACAACCAATCGAATTAAGGATTATGGGCGAAAGTAACATTCATTCCATTGAATGAAAAAAAAACAATTTTTAGACTTCAATTCAAACTGATTGTTCACTTTTTAATATCATTTTAATATCCAAGGGATATATCTTGATTGTATATTGATTTTGCATGAATTGACTCAAATTAAATAAAGATGAATGATATCAAACAAACAGAATTGTATTTTTATTGCTTTTTTAAATCTAAGAAAAATTTAATTTTTTCCGATGCATTTCTTCAAATCCAAGCCCTTTTTTGGACAATCTTCGAAAGTCATATATGGATTTTTATTCGAACAAGTGCATGCTACAATAAAAAAGGTTGGTTTACCAATAAAAATACAGTTCTATACTACCATATCTTAACACCTTTTAAACGTAAAGTATGCCACATTATCCTACGAATTATCTGGATGGTATTGATAATCTTAACTTACTAGTAAAACTGCCTTCTCTTTTATTGCATTTTACAATATTCTGTAACATCGAATTATTGCCTTGCATATATCAAGTCTTTCTTTTCAGTAAACTGTGTATTAAAACGATAATCTTAAACAATGACAAAGTAGAAACTGATTTTGCAAAGACCTAAAGGAAAGTTGACATTTTGCTACTTTTTTAACTTTAAACTTTTCCAAAACACTAATTATTTTTTCTCCTTTTTTTTCAGCAAGACACCATGCAAGGAGAGGATCAAGACGTTGTGCTACATGCGGTGGGGGCGGTGAAGAAGCTCCTCCTGTAAGCTGCTGCGCCTGTGGATGCTGCGGCAATGGTTGTAGCTGGGGAATATGCGATCTGTGCCGTCAACCTTCATGCCCTGGGTGGTGCGGAGGTGGATGCCAGTGTGCTAACTGCTGTGGAGGCTTTGGACAACCAATAGCATGTAATGGCTGTAATAGTGCATGCTGTCCTGCTGTTACCTTCCCTTGTACCTTCGGAGCATGCGTGAACAATCCTTGTTGTGAGTGCTGCAGAAAGCCCGCACCTAAGGGTAAATGCAAGTGGCCTTGCTTATGGCCTTGCTGCTGTGAATGCACACCACCAAAGTTCAAGTTCAAGCCTCTGAAACCCAAGCCTGTTTGTCACTGTCCTAATCACTGCTGTGGGCATAAGAGAACAGGTACATAAGTTTTTATTTGTGTATTGAATGATTTCGTACCCAAAGACAACAACTTAACAATCGAGTTATATATTGACCAATACCTGTTAGCATTCTTCTGACTGTCGTCTCCTCTTTTTTKACTCCATTTTTCCACATGAAAAGGTTTTATATATAATTTTTCATAACACTTTTTCATCTTGTATTTCTCTTTTTGCGTGTATTGAGATAATATGTCACAAAGGTGATTGTTGTTTTACGCCACACAATATTAAGAATCTATGAGATACCTCCATGTGGTCCACGCTGACTGTTTATGTAATCAATAAAGTACTAAAATTCTTTTTATTGTTTTAGTTCCCAGAGCCTTGTGCAAAAAGAACTGCCTTGTTCCTCTTGCTCCCGTCGTTACCCCAGCGGTTAGCCTCGTCCCACAAGGCCTAGTGGCACCTCAAGGGCTAGTGGCACCTCAAGGGCTAGTTGCACCTCATCCATTTGTAGCAGCTCCTCAAGCATTTGTAGCAGGACCTCAGCCATTAGTAGCTGCCGCACATCCGTACCTAGCAGCAGCTCAGCCATTTGTAGCAGCAGGCCATCCATTTCTACCAATGGCTGCACCTCAATTAGTGCCCCTTGTTGCAAACCCGTGTTGTGGTGGCTGTGCACCTCAGTTGGTTCCATATCAGGGTTAGTTTGGTAAGTGTAATTAGCCAAAAAAAGCTATATAATAGGTTACCACTTCCCTGCTAAATATTTGTTGATTACTTTCAGAATTGTATGTATAATAAGAAAAGTCTATATATGATGACATTCTGTCTATATAAAGAACATTTCGCTCTATGTCATGCAATAAGGGKTTTTTCCATGTTCTGAGAAATGAAAATGCATCAAATCAGCTTCATGTCGAGTTGATAAAGGAAGGGGAGGAAGGGGAAATAAAATCCCGCCATTGTTGTGCCCCCATAGAAGGAGATCCATTCCATTGAACTCTATTACTTAAAACAGTACTGTCTGTTATTGTATGATTAAATTGTTATTTCTTTGTTTGTATTTGCAGTTAGATAAGCATTGATACTCAACATCTTAGGGGTCTGTATATATGGACACCCTTTTTGTGGCAARGAAAACTCGAGTCCATTATAAATCCAGTAATGAAGACAGACTTCGGAGGGGAAACCCTTTGCAAATGAAAAATTTGTAGATTTCAATTACAATCTATTGAAACATCACTTCATTTGTTAGAATTAGAATTGTTATCAGCATGAAAATCKAATAAAGTATTTCCCTATACTACTTTGATAAGTTGTTGTTCAATAAAAGACGTCTTTACAGACTAATACTGCCAATGTATTTTTCTATTTTTGATATGTAAACAGACCTATTATCATATTGTTCTTCAAGTCAAAACATCGAATCATTAACCATTTTAGACCCAGCTTCTGTACTTTGTTGCAACATCCAACGTACAATAACCATACCATCATCTGAAGAATTTATTTTTTTATATTTAAAAATATACCTCCTTCTTCACACTGAATACTGTATATTTGTTTCCGGTAAAACTTGATTGTCTTTCTTGCTTACGCTCTTTCGAGTCATTTCTTTTTTGTCTTTGTGGCCTTCCCTCTCCCCTCTCCCCCACGCATTAGTTCAGCTTATTTGAGTAGCTTAGCTTCAATTCCTGCTCAGGGTAAATAAAGTAACAAGTGCTTGGTCTATTGAAAAAGACAAATATATTAAGATACTATTGAATATGTACCTTGTGACACGCAGGGAAAGCTCAATGTGTTTTCATCAATCACACCCCTCCCTGACATGCATAAATCCTTATACCATGGTTTTTAAATGCTTGTATTTGTTTTACTTATACCTTTCTTCCGTCAAAAAACCGTTGCGAAATAGGCGCCGTATGTTGGCCATACCTTTGGCGCAAAAAGACGACGATTGGGTTTCTTGGGTTTCGTGTGACGTCATAGTCAAGCAAAAACTGTATTGTTGACATAACATAGATAGCGAGACAGATAAATCAAAAACTGACTCTATAAAATTTAGTTACCTCATAGTTTCTTAAATATATCAATATACTTAGTGTYAGTACTATTCAAATCTGTACAAATTGTAGCCTCTTTAATGATCCCTGTGTTTAGGGCGACAAAAAGAGCAAGGCTATCAATAATTCTCGGTGAGTCATTAGCACAGGACCCCCAATTTTACCCACACCCCTTCGGTAATTTCCCATACATACATACATACGGCTTGTACTCGGACAGTACTCTTGGTGATTAGGATGCCGAACACAATATAGTACGATGTCGTTTTGAGTGTTCAAATAAGAAATGCATTTATCATATTCTATGAAATACATATATTTCTCCATTAAGTAAAATTAATATTTTCACTAGTGGAAGAAAGAAAAAAGGTATTTTACAACATAATTTGCTTTCATATTTAATTATATGATAAACAGAATMTTACATGGTCGCTTGGAGATACGCTATGCTCACTCGTGAGAGATCTTTTCAACACTCGAAGATAAAATCCGTATCTCCGCGCGCCCATGTAATATCCTCTATATCTCTGTGGTAGCCAACAGCATTTGTAAAGATACAAAAATGAGTAAAGTCACTTTGCAAATAAACAAATTAGAAATGCATGATTAGAGATGTAGACTGTAGATGGTCATATTAAAGTAAATATATAGTGAAACACATTTCATATATCCCTTATCTATTRCAYGGATCTCTTGYAATTTCAAWCATATTTAGGATCATAATAGATTTMTTTSTAGATAGCATAGTTTCACTTTTAGAATCGTAGTGCCACAATCAATATAGATKAAAGAAAATGCAATAAAATAAAGAAAATCTAAAATAGTCCCTATCTAAAATATAACACTTAGTCTCTAAATGATATAGTACCAAGCGCAAAAAACGTATTTKGTTTAAACTTATTAGTTTTTTGGCTTTTTCATCAAYAGGAAAACGCTGTCTTAAAAGATGCTGCCTAAAGAAAAGGTCTGATAAGAAGGGAGAACCGTGTTGTAACTGCTGCGGGGGSTTTGGTTGCCCTCAGGCCATCGATTGCTGTGGTTGTGGATGCTGCCCCAACATTGTTTTCCCTGTGAATTTCGGCGTAGATTGTGACTGCTGTTGTAAGGGAAARAAGGGSAAAAARGGCAAAAAGCCRGAATGYTCGTGCTGTTGCAACTGGCCATGTTGTTGTACTGTTAAGGAAATGCCTAARTTYAAATTCAAGCCATGTAAAGCCAAGCCATGCTGCTGTTGTCCAGGSTGCGGTTGTAAACGAGGAGGTAAGCAAAGTTATAATAATAATGTCTTTAATGATTTTATTATTATTTAACAGTGAGTCCATCTTAGAGTCCGTCTGTGAAACTATTACTACTAGTCAATGTCTAATAGTAACTATTAGGGTGYAGTAGGCTACCAAAAGGCAAAATCAAAAGTGTGTTTGCCTAACTAGTTTGTCGCATGTCATAAGAGATAAACTTTTGGGAGCTAATAGGGGGTAATAGTATTTAATAGTGCAATTCCTATTTCACAGACGGATGAAAATGACTTTAAAGTAACAACAAAGTTAAAAAAACTCGACAGCTCAATAAAGCTATAGAGCCGATTTCGTATGAGTGGGACACCGTTACCGCACGGTTACCGCACAGTTACCGGACCTGGCCTGCACAATTTTGGTGAACCAATGGKGCACTTGAATTTGGTTGCAGTACGATTACGGTCACAGTACAGTACCGTCCGTTTCCCACTCATACGAAATCTGCTCTATAACAATTTGATATAGATGAAAAAATCATACCAAGAAGAATTATTCATTTCTTTTGTTTGTCACCAAAGGTAACAAGAGATGCAGGTGTCGTTTCTTCTGCAACTGTTCATCCCCTATGATGATTATACCTCTGGTTGACCCATCAGCCATTATGGGATCAATTGAACATAATAAGGCTTTGGGCTATACTGCACATGCGCACAAGAGCATAAAAAGGTTTGATTTACAGTAGTAGCCTTTTTTATTTCCTTTCATTCTCTTTTGTTGTTGTTGTTGTTGTTGTTTCTGCTGTTGTTGTTGTTGTTGTTGTTGTTGTTGTTGTAATATCTGAAATGCTAAATTGGTCTTCTTTTTATTTTCAGCATCCATTCTGGACATAAGTCCCGCCAAAAGATTGGTCATTTATGATGGCTTGTTACGGTTACTGATGACCATGCATTGATGTACTATCAATCATAACCATCATCAGAGCTCAGCAAGGTTTCGGTTAACGCCGCAGCATCAATATCGTTATCCACAATAAAATCCTTGTTGATTTTAAAAGGAGATGTAATAAGGCCACGTATAATGCAATAAAAGAGAATATGAAATCTTTCAAAGGATCCTAAGTCACTTGCGTAACAATGTTGCATGCATGCTCTTCTCTAGCTCCTTAAGCTCTTGAAGAGTTTGAATTTGACTCGTTATTCGCAAATTTTTGCTCAATATAAATTGGTGTTATTGGTGTAATGTTTAGTGCGCAATGCAATTTTATAGTTTATTATGTTTTGTTTTATCACTGTTATTTCTTTTGCTCCTCCTCGACTTTACAGGTACCCGGTGTTTCGTGGTGACAACCGAGTCACACCAATTTCGTTTGTCAAATCTTTAAATTGGTATCATCACAACGTTTTAATGGATGCACTTTTTGTAGYCTGCCTTTTAGTGCTTTTGACGCAAGGCTATGCTTCTACGAATAATTACGTTCAGGTTGAACGTGAAAAACTACGACATGCCGGATCTTCCAAGACAGGGCAACTAGAATCATGGCCTGAATTCGAGAGAAACATTCCTCTGAGCTTATTACTATCAAAAAGAGACTTGCATCAAGAAAGAGGGTCACTGAGTGCTCATTTAACAACATCGATAAGTGCAACGAAACTTCGAAGAAAGCAAAAGGAATCGTACACTAGAGAGAACTCTCCAAGCTTAAAGAGACGAAAGCATTTATTTTCCTCAAAGAGGAACAAGTGTTGTTGTTGCTGCAAACGACGCCTTTCAAAGAAGAAAAGAATGAAGAAGGTTCTAAACCTATTAAAAGAAGCCATCAAGTCTTTTGATGATCCTCCGCCAAAGAAACCAAAGCCTCTCGCTCCACCATGCGATATGGGAACATGTTGTATGCCTTGCTCTCAGGCAAGCTGTGGATGTTGTTGTCCYTGTACACAGATGGTCAAAGTAAAATATCATCCACCAAAGTTTGACTTCGAGGCTATGAAAGGAAGCTTAATGTGCGGCTGTGGTTTTGGGAATCCATGTSGTGGTTGCTTAATGAAAACAGGAAAATAGTCAACTCCTTTACTTGAAATGACCTTTTTATATATCAATAATTTTTATTCCGGTAACGGTAAAAATTGATTCCATCGTCAATGACTCTAAACGAACTTTTATTTGAACTTGGTTTCTCGAGTCAATATTTATGCTTTTAATGTTTGTAAAGATGGGATTATTATCTCTCAATCATGTGATGTTTTGTCTAATTTGAACAAGTGTATCGGTGTCAAAGTGACATAGCAGTTACGGGTCATCGAGTTAAGCTTTCCGGTCAGCCTATTAAAAACCAATTCAGCTCCTTAAAACCGATCTAAAACATCAAAGAACATCCTTTGCACTACCTAAAAGAACAGCCTGAAATAGGTYAAAAGGAAATATATTCCACATACTTCTTTTCTGTGTTGGTGAAGATCTTCCAGTTTAGAATTTAAGCTTTAATTTTGGTTATTCGATCACTAGTGACAGGAACAACCTGCTGTGACTAATTGCAGTTTAAAGTGTCAGATAACAATTGAGGAAATAAAAGACACCAGACCATGCGTGCATACCACAAGTTAGCAGTCCTTTGATTTAACAACACAAAAATGTAAAGCAATTGTTTSGACAGAATTTTCGTCCTAAGATTTAAACGTCGCCTTATAAGATATATCAGCTAATGATGTATTTATCTGGACTAGCTCATATCATATCAGTCGCGTGACCTACTGTTTCAGGACAATGTTTACAGCCTTGACAATCCTCTTGATTTTGAAAAGCTCTTTTGCAAGTCATAGCTACAACTCTAGTAGACTTAACGMTTATTACGAGTTCTACAAGTTTTTAGAGGATCTAGAAGACCACAATGGACTTGTAATAAGGGAAAAAGGCAATAACCATCCAAAGAAACCAATATTGTTAGTACAGAGAAATGGGCGAGGATTTGCTGTTACAAAGCGAAATGAAGAAGAACGCCCTGAATCTCCAATTACAAGAGAGATTTCTAAGAGCCATTTCAAGAAACTTTACGATATTTTGAAACACGCAGTGAAAAATTTGGATGAAAGCGAATCCAGCGATGATGAGGAGCAGGAGGAAGAGGATGAGGAAAAAGAGCAGGACGACACTGGTGAAGAAGCCTCTGATGAAGAAACGAAGCCAAAAACATCAAAGAAAAAAGAGAAAAAGCAAGACGGATCAACTGTTGTAAAGCTACAAGATAAACCAAGTAAAAAGAAAGGAAAAGACGCGAAAGAAGATGACAAAGGAAGCGAAGACTCAAAAGAAGAAGATGCAGGAGGTGGAGGTGGAGGTTCGGTTTGTTTCATGCCTTGTGGAGCTAATTTTGGTGGGGGGTGTTTTAATGCCGGGTATTGTGGTTGTTCAGGATGCCGAGGATGCATGCCATGTGGTGGTCGAGGATGTCTCAACCTTCCTTGTTGTCCTTGCTGTTGTGGATCTGGAAAGAATTTAGAGGATGTGTGGATGTTACCAACACTTATCGTCAGTAAGTCAGGCCCACCTTCAGGACAATTATGGCTTCCCAAATGGTTAACGTCGGCACTCGGACTTCCTCCAGGAGGAGTACCAGTAGGGGCTGCAGCAGGAGCTGCCGGAGGTGGGGCGGCAGGTGCAGGGGGTGCAGCTGGGGGAGGAGGGGCAGAAGGTGGTGCTGCTGCGGGAGGAGAAGCAGGAGGTGGCGCAGCAGGAGGAGGTG